TGCAATTTTTGTTTGTGCTCTCTAAAATTTGATTCAATGTTTTACCAGTTTTGTGGGTTCTGGAACGGGTTTTGAGGAAAAAGTTGCAATACTTGTAAAATTAGTAGATTCTGTTAGGTTCTGGAACGGCACCATAGTTTCTAAGAAATAATTTTATATCAATGAATTAGTTCATGGTACAATTATAAAAGGTAACAGCAAATCCCAGCTGATTTGATTCCAACGTAATACTAGTGTCAATATGAATTTGACAAATTATGTTTTTAAAAATCACCCAACAGGAAAATTGGGAACGCATACAATTTGAAATTGTTCTTTATTAAATGTGCTCCTGTATTCAATTTACTCAATCTGCCTGCTGGGAAAGTTTGAGGAAGCAAATCTTTCTTTAAGGAATAACTCGCTATTGCCAGCATTTTCATATGTGTTACACATATATATGGCAATGGCTCAATTGTAGGAAAGATGTGGAAGCGATAGAAATATAAATTTGATAGATTTTCATTCATGTTTTTCAATTTTTATTTTGAGGATTCGAAAATATTTCATTTTCAAAATAAAAATAATTTGATGATAATTTGTTTGTTTTTTTACATTTTTCTGTCAAATGAGTTGACACTAGTAGAACTTACAACAACAAATTTCCATTTGGTTGTTGTATCGTTTTTTGTACAACAACACTTGCTGTTACCTTCTATTATTATACCATGGAATTAGTTTGTAAATGCACATAGAGACTGGAATTAACAGTACAAGCACTCAACGGCGAAAAAGAGAAATGCCCCCTCTGTTTACCATTGGTCCTTCGAGCCAGATCAGTGACCGATTGTGGAGGAAATTGATACTGAAGAATTTGGCTTTATTCCCAGGGAGAAGAAACTTATAAATAAAATGCGGCTGTGGTAAGAAAGAAGGCGGTGACTGGGGGAAATATTGCGAGGGGGCTTCAGTTCTGAGTACATAAGCTCCAGAACTATGGAGCCTTATTCCGGAGAAGATAAATTGATCAAAGATTCGGCAACGACCGAAGATATAAAAACTGTAATAGTTATGTCTAATAGTCAATATCGACATGTTCGTAGAGTTTATAAATAGTCGGAGTACGACTGAGAATATGAAGGATAAAACACTAAATGTTATTTTTTCACCTAATGGAGAGTAATTCCTCTCTCAATTATGAAAAAAAATTGATTGAAAAATTCCAACATGAAATTATAAAGCCGTGAAATGTGCATGTATACGTAAACAAACAGCTGACTGTCAAATTTATATCATTGTAATGCTAGTTAAAACAGCTGGGATGCCATAAGTCAATTTAGAAGGCATAGCCCGTTGAATGTGATATTCGCATCAATGTTTATTGTTAAGGTCATCCAAGGAGACCAGCTGGATATCAGCTGCTTTTCAAGTTTGCTGTCAAAATCCATTATTGTGAATTGACTTACATTATGAAAACGTAAACAAAGTCCAAATTTTTGATATTAGACTTGAGAAAAACAGCTGACTTTAGCTTGCTGTGTGACTTTATTGATAGATCTTGATGTACATGTTGTTTTATTTCGATGTGATTAGAAGAGTTATGTTTATCCTTTTTTTTAAGTTTTTTTATATGTACGAGAACACATTTCTTGTATAATGTTGGTAATATGATACTCTAGTTGATTCTAAAAGGTTATGGAAGGAGCTTAGTTTTTCAGCAAACCTGCCTATCATTTAGATTGTCAATTGCCTTATAAAACGGCTTATACCGCATAACTTTTTATCGGGTTAACCTACTTTATGAGGATTTATTTGACATATATGCAAAGGAATTGACAATTGAAACCCACTGGGTTAACGAAATGCGTTTAAATGTAAAAGTACTATTATACTCCTATAAAATAATTTTTCTGTTCCCGTACTTTTTCCAATCCTTTAATATCAACACAATGGTCGATCAGAAGCTGGCTTTCCAAGTTAACATTTCTACTCTCCAATTTTGTCAGGTAATAAATGTACAAAGAGTACCCAATTTTGGATTATTTTATCGTAAAATTTTTTGACAGTTTTACTAGGTCCATGAACGGATTTCGAGTAAATAGCAGAAAAACTGGTAAAAGTAGTAGATTCTTTTAGGTTCTGGAACGAAACTTTTGCTTCTAAATACCCAAAATTCTTTATTTAAATCGGAATGGATAGTATCTTTACATTGTACCGGATTTATTTAATCCAGTGGATCTAAATTGTCAAATAAAATTACTTATATGACAAATACATCCTTATAGAGGAGGTAAACCTGGCAAAATTTCGAATGGCATTTACATTAGAACTTTCTGCCGGGTGAACCTATTTAATGAATATTTATTTGACAATGAAGTTAACAATTCAAACCCAGTGAGTTAACGAAATCCCTTACAATGTAAACGTAGAATTTATTTGACATATATGCAATGGGATTGGCAATATGAACCCACTGATTTAATGAAATCTTGTATAATGTAAAAGTGCTATAAATCTGATTAACGTTTTTTTTTCTGTAAAATATGAAATTTAAGTTGTCAATTGTGACAGTTGAATAGTACTGTAATATAAACTTTGTTTTAGAAGATGGATGATTTATCTTTACAATGTGGATGATTTATTAAAGGACTTTGTGAGGATTTATTTGACATATATGGAATGGAATTGACAATCTAAACCTACTGGGTTGACGAAATCCTGTATAGTGTAAACGTACTATAAATCTGATTATCGATTTTTTTCTGTAAAATATGAATATGAAATTTAAATTGCCAATTATGACAGTTGTCAGTTTTATAATAAAACTCTGTTTACATTTTGGGTGTTTTATCTGCCTTAGCTTTTATGACAATTTTCGAAACTGATTCGCAGAATAATGCACGGCAATGGTTTTATATTATTTTTATTTTCTGCAATTATCTGATTTTTTCTTATAAAACAAACCATTGGGAGTGCCTTTAGTATGTCATTTTGTTTATTACTTTTTTGTTTTATTTTTATTTTGGTTAAATCACCCAAAATTTATTTGTCAATTGTGGGAATTACCAAAAAAAAAAAAAAAAAAAACAACGTTATATAACACAATGGCCACATAAATTCTTGTAATGATGGTCACATTCCTTCTGACATTTAAAGAAAGAAGTAAAGAAACAAAGAAATCAAATAAATACAGTTTATTTGTTTCTTTGTGATCTAAATTTTAAAGGGGTTTGAGAATTCTTGGCACGTCCCATTATAATCCCGAAATGTTCCAGAGGCTCATGGGAGTGCTTGTTGATGATGATGGTTTATGGGTATTAGGAATAGTAGCCCAATTCAAATTCAGCTCACAATTTTTTGTGGCAATAATTGTTGGTGGTGGTGTTGAAGTTGTTGTTATTGCTGCTGCTGTGCTTCAAAATTTATTGTTGGGCTGTGTAATACTAGCAACAACAAACATTTTTTTTATTTTATTTTTTTTTTTTCCATACAAACAATGCAACTAGTAACCAAGCCACTTGTCAAACCACTTACTTTTTTAGTGTTGTTGTTTTAATGAAAAAAAAATTATATATACACTAACAACAAATCATAGTTACAACAAAAAAAATTATAAACTTTTTATCTATGTGTGCTGTCAAAGTTTAATTCATTTTTTCATTTGTTGTTTTTTTTTTGTTTCTTCTATTTTATATGCATTATTCTTTATGTGCAATTATTATGTGACGGGGGGAACCATTTGACCATTAAAAAAAATTGTGGTTTCTTTTGATTTTTTTTTTCGTGTTGACTTTATGAACTCACTTTTATTATTAACCATCATCAAAACATCACTCTAATCATTTAATTATTATTTTTTTTTTTTTTGTTTACTTCTTCTTCTTTTTATTATGTGTTAATTATTAAATTTAACAAATTTTTCTTTAATATCTGTTTTTTTTTTTTTTTTTATTTATTTCGAAAGAAGAAAAAAAAACAAAGAATCTTGCATTAAAACTCGCGTCGCCAAACGTTCCGTATGAGTATTGTGTTTATTCTCGACGGCACAACACAGTGCAATGCAGAGCCTGCCAAGTTGACTATGCGCTCTAGTCTACGTTACACGACACACAACAACCAACGCTTTCAATGAGAGAGAGACACAACATAACAACTCCAGTGCAACAATCAAAGTAAAGACAACAACAATAACAATAAAAAAACTATCAAAGATACAAAAAACAACAACAAAACACACAAAACTGGTTATGTTAAATATCTACAACGCTCTTTTGAAGTTGAAAAAGAAATCACATCGCGTTGTTATAAAATGTAACTACTAGTCGCAGTGAATGCAGCCGACAAACGTTAGACGTTTAAATGGACCACTTGAACTGAACCATGGCTGGCATGAACGGACCAGTGAACCTGTTCCTTAACATTTACAGGCCAAAGAATTTGTAGAAAAAAAAAAGAAAAAACAACAACAAATTCGAATAATAAATGTAAGTTAGTAAAACGGCCAAAAATTGGAATAACAACATCTCGTGCTTGGTTGGTGGTAGTGGTTTTATTTATGGGCCCCCTCCAAAAATTTTTGCAGTACAACAAACCATTAACCAACCAGCCAGCCATCTAAGCTGATGTATGACTCAATTTTAAAGCTCTACAAAAGGAATGCAAAACAAAAACAAACTGACTTCAATGGCTTGGCTGAGAGAAGGAGAGAGAGACAAATAAAAACAAAGAGAGTCAAACATCCTGCATGAAAAAAATCAACAACAACAAGAGAGTTATTTATTATTGATTTATTTTTTTTGCAAAATTGCACATTAACTTACAATTTAATTGTGTTGTATTTTTTTCTTTATTGGTATTGAGCAAAAGCTTTTGCATTTGTTTTATCATTAAGACACGCACACACACACTCACATCCATATTAACTTTTAACGGCTGATCATCATCATTTGTCAAATCGTAAAATCCCCCAAACATGCTCGTAAACGTCATCGTCATCATCATCTGCATCACATTAAATGTCATCATGTCCTAATTTATTTTCACAAAGCTTTCATTATCCACAATACGAAAGACATCTTCACGAAAATGTAATAAATCGTCCAAAAATCGTCGACTACTTTCATTGTGCAAATAGGTCATAACCGGTTTAATATTTTCAATAGCTGCTGTCTTGGCTAAATCGTTATAGTAATGGATCTGTAATAAAAAATTAGAAGTAATTGGAAAAATTATTAAAAAAATAAATAATAAAAATAATAATAAAGAAACAAAAAAATAATTTAAAACGAAATTTACATTGTACCGGATTTCGTTCCTTTAACGAAATGTAAATGTTCTACTTTATGAGAATTTATTTGACCTATATCAAGGTCCATAAAACTGTAAGAGGCGAATCCTATCGGCAATTTTAGTTGAATATCCCCCATACTGTAAAATTTTTTGTTTACTCTTTCATACGATTAAGTCAAAATTGAAAGCAACATCGAACATCGGTTGAAATCATATGGACTTATCGGACAACCTTATTATTGGGCCATGACGTATATATTTAAATCCATGATGCAATAATAAGGTGATATATCAAAACAAAAACCTTTGTTTTTGTCTCGACCATCTGTCAAATTTTTCCTTATAATATTTCACATGGTTGGCAACATTGCACATCGAATTCAAGTAGAAATTACACACTTTGGCAGTTAATCAGGACATCAGCTGCTCTAAATGGACTACCTATTCATTGTGCCATGTTTAAACCCAAAAGATTAACGAAATTCCGTACAATGTAAACGTACTATTAGTCTCATTTGAGAAATTGATAATTGCAACGCTTTTTAATTTATCATGGCCTATAAATAAGGTCACACAGGGAGACCAGCAGGATATCTGTGTCACTCAAGTTTGCTGTCATAATGCATTATTGTGAATTGACTTACATTATGAAAACGTAAACAAAGTCGACATTTTTCACATTAAACTTGAGAAAAAAAAACGTTGGGCGCCAATTTCTGAAAACAATTTTTTAGCGCACATTTAACCATATTTGGACGCCAATTCGATAATATGGGAATATCAAAACGCTTTGAAATATTTGAACCCATGAAAAAACGTTGGGCGCCACTTCCTTTACACTTGAATATGGGATTTAATTTGGAATTAATTTTAATTTGTTTTAAATATTTAAATGTAAAAAAGAAAGAGATGTTGGCCGTCACTTTTCCATTTCCTCGAATAGGTGATTCAATATGGGATTATGTTATATAAAATTTCTAAAACATATTTACCTAGTTTAGGATTGAAAATTCATTTATGTAAAATAAATGTTGGGCGCCATTTTCTGAAAATAATTTTATTAGTGTACGTTAGTGTACATTTAACCACAATTGGACGGCAATTCGTGAATATGGGAATATCAAAAATTAAAATTCTTGCAAGTTATTGACATATTGGAACCCATGAAAAACGTTGGGCGCCAGTTTCTAGACTGGGATTCAATATGAGATTAATTTTACATAAAATTTGTAATTCAACAAAAAAAAAAAAAAATACTACGATCATAATTAAAAATGTAATTAAAAAATTAACGTTGGGCGCCATTTTCTGAATATATTTCTCTTCTGATTTCTCACACACGAGCATTTTAGAGAAAAGGGGGTAATTGTTTAATCAAGATTTCCAACAAACATAATTTAAAAAAATATTCTTAAACAATGGCATATATTGACAAACGTTGGGCGCCAATTTGTTTAAAATTTACAAATATTCTTTGGAGTACGCTCTTCTTGTAGTAAAATGTTTAAATTGTAAGAAAGCTATAAAAATATTAAAATTTTATAGGGAAACTCAACTAGAACTCGTTGGGCACCATTTTTGGAAATCGATTGAATCGTGAATCGCACAAAGGTGTAATATAAGAAGAAACTCTTAATACTGTTATAATACAACAAAATTAAACAAAAAATAAAATACTAGAAACACGTTGGGCGCCATTTTTTCTTTACGAAGAAAAAATCTCTGGAATTTTTTACTATTTTGTTATCGTAATAAAAAATGTTTACATTTTTGCAGTTTCTGGAACAGATTATATGCCAATCCCCTTGTAAAATTTTTACTCAACAACTTTTAACTCGCCCTTATAAAAATAATTCGATTTAAAACCTATTAATCTTGAATTTAAATTTAATTATCAACATCAAGTTGAACAAAAATGACCACACACAAACATGCAATAAATGATTTATTACATAAGCGATCAGTAGTTTTCACTTTCAGTTACAAATTATCGGTATCAGTTTGTGACATAACCAGTGTGTTAAGTGTTAATTAAATGATGTTTTCATTTATTTTTGTGGCTTAGGCTTATAATGTGTTCACATGGGAGATATTTGATAATATGAAACTAATTAAAAAAATAATCAAATATATTATGTTAACCACCAAAGTGTAACGTCAAATAAATTAAATATGTCATATGTATTTCTTTCCAGTATATGTTACATTGTACAACTGAACCCTTTTTGCAAACGAATTTAATTTTTGGCGTATATATTGATTAATTATCTGAATATAATTCACAATAATCTATTTTGACAGCAAACATGTGAAACAGCTGATCACTATGGGAGACTTTATTAGAAGGCATGTTAACCCTATTTAAGCCCATTTGTACAGTATCTACAACATAAATGGACTAACGACCAATGAAGGTGCAATAATTCGCTGAATGATATGCTAATTATACGGCGACGCTTTGCACTTTCATAAGTATTGCAACTTAGGTCTCAGCCTCTTACAAAATTGTTTTTTTAGACATCTACATTGATTACCTATCTGAATTCAATTCACAATAATGTAGTTTGACAGCAAACATACGAAACAGCTGATCATCATGGGCGACCTTATTAAATGGCATGTAAACCCTATTTAAACCTAGTTTATTTGTACAGTATCTACAACAAATATAAAAGGGCTACCTACCAATGAAGGTGTAATAAATTGCTTCGCTTTATGATATGCTAATTATACGGCGACGCGTTACACTTTCATTAGTCTTGCAACTTAGGTTTTAGCTTTAAAATAAGGCAAATGCAAGATAATTATAATTGTTCGCAGCAACGTGTTTCATTCATTTCATTTTAATGTGCGCTATTTTCGCTAACATTGAACTTGTGTTTGAACTTTAGCAGGCAAATCAACACAGATAATAATTCATAAAAGCAAGTGATTTATGTCTTTCTTTTTTGCTCTCTCTTTCTTTTTTATATTTCTAAACAAAGCCTGTTTAAAAATGGTCTGAATAAATAATAATAAATATTATTTAATTTATGTACACCCCAGGTGAGAGATATGGCGAAATTGTTTCAACAAAAGAAATATTTCAAATAAAAATATATATAACAAATATAAATATATTTCCAAATGGGTGTTAGGAAAGTTAAATCGTCAGTTAAGTAATGTGATTTTTCATTACATACTCTTATTTTCACAACAAATTTAGGAAACAGCTGATCGCCTTGAATGAACTTATAGAGACCTGTTAATAAGGTCACACAGGAACAAGAAACGGCTGTTTTTTTCCTCAAGATTAATGCGAAAAAATTATGCCATTATGTGAAGTCAATTCACAAACATTGATCTTGAATGAGGTATTAAGGGGGTTACACATAAGAGAACTTCAGGATTGCCATGCTTCTTTTATTGTAAAAATATAAAGGACAACGGCGCCCAAATTCAAGCTTCACTCCGATATTTCTTTATAAATTGACATTTCATACAAAGCCAACTTAACAGACCAGGCCTGAATCCTCGTATGTGTTTTCCCCTTTAGATTCATAATAAATTGCTTAATGTAAATCATGGTCCCCTAGTCATCCAGGGAGACCAGCTGGATATCAGCTGACTCTCAAGTTTGCTGTCAAAATTCATTATTGTGAATTGACCTTCATTAGGAAAGCGTAAACAAAGTCCAAATTTTTGACATTTGACTTGAGAACAAAAAGCAACTGAATTTCGCTGGCTGGGTGACCTTATTAATAGATCTTGATGTAAATGTAGCATTTAAGGTTCTGGAAGCCAGACCCGAGGTGATTTAAACTACCAGTTTTATTCGAATGCATTTATAGTAATAGCACGTTTAGACTACTAAATCCACTCGATCTCAAATGTCATTTCCATAGTGTATACGTCATCTTAATAATGTTCACAAATCCAGTGGATTATATTTGACGTTTACGCCATGGAATTGACATTTGAGAACGATTGGATTTCGTAAATCTAAGGCTACGTTTAGACTACTAAATCCACTCGATCTCAAACGTCAATTCCAAGATCTATTAATAAGGTCACCAAGATAGCAATCAAAATCGGAAAACATCTGTTTTTCCTCAAGTCTAATGTCAAAAAATTCGACTTTGTTTACGTTTTCATAATGCATTTTGACAGCAAACTTGAGAGGCATCGATAATCAGCTGGTCTCCCTTGGTGACCTTATTTATAGGTCATGGTCAATTCCATTGCGTATACGTCACGTTAATGCAGTTCACAAACCTAGTGGATTATATTCGACGTATACGCTATGGTATTGACATTTGAGATCGAGTGGATTTCCTTAATATAAACGCATCTAAATCTACTTTAAAACTAGCCTTTATTTTTAAATCCTAAAACAAAGACCTTACCTGTTCCTCTCCCATCATATGTGCCTGACGTTTCTTATAGCCCTTGGCAAAACGCCTCTCCATTTCCTGCTCTGTATCCTGCAGCATTTCCTCCCGGCTGGGTAGCTCCTTTCGTCCCTTCCAAAATTCCATAGTAAAACGTGATTGCAAATCCATCATTTGTGCAGCACAAACATAATAGGGTATACCGATAAAACTCATTGTGGGATATTCAATATTTATGCAATGTTTATACAGTGGTCGTACCCAATTATCATCAACATAGATACCACAATTTGTCGATAAAAATGGAAATGCATATTTATAGCCAGTACAATAGAAAATAATTGTATATTTTTCTTCTTCGCCATTTGTAAAAACGACAGTGGAACCTTTGGTGTAAGCAACATCAGGTTTTTGATTTACATTCGGACGAAATTGTGTTTTTGGCGTTTCTGGCATATGATGACTTAGGGTGACACGTTCAGCTACTTTGGAAATTTCATGACACAAATCCATGCCACTGGGCCCAGCACCAATGATGAGAACACTTTGATCTGTAAGTGAAATAAAAAAGAGGATATGTTATCGAGGTACTAGAAGAAGGACTACAAGATAGTATCTAATTTAATCTAAAGAAAAAATCTACACTTCTGTTGGTGCTTGAGAAACAGCTGATTTTCCTGGATGACCTTATTAATAGGTTTTGATAGACATAATTCAAGATCATTAATAAGGAAAGCGAAAGTCAGCTGTTTTTTCAGCTATGAATTGAATTCATATGTATATATTTTAACAGCTAACTTGAGAAACAGCTGATTATCCTGGAAGACTTTATTAATAGGCGTTGATAGATACAATTCAAGATCTATTAATAAGGTCACCCAGGAAGTGAAAATCAGCTGTCTTTTTTCTCAGCTATGAATTGAATTCACATGAATATATTTTGACAGCAAACTTGAGAAACAGCTGATTTTCCTATATCACCTTATTAATACGTTTTGATAGATACAATTCAAGATCTATTAGTAAGGTCACTCAGGAAGTGAAAATCAGCTTTCTTTTTTCTCAGCTATGAATTGAATTCACATGAATATATTTTGACAGCAAACTTGAGAAACAGCTGATTATCCTTGAAGACCTTATTAATAGACGTTGATTGATACCATTCAAGATCTATTAATAGGCGAAAGTCAGTTTATTTCTCAGCTGTGAATTGTATTCACATGAATATATTATGACTTTAGAAACAGCTGATCATCCTGGATAACCTTATTAATAGTTATTGATTGATACAATTCAAGACCTATTTATAAGGTAACCCAGCAAGCGAAAGTCAGCTGCTAAGTTTAACGTCAAAAAATTGTAAGTTGTTTACATTTTCATGATGGAAGCCAATTCACAATAATGAATTTAGACAGCAAATAAAATCCAGCTGATAAGTAGATTTTCTTCCTAGATGACCTTGCAAAAAGGCCTCGCTTAGCAATTCGATATTTATTTCAAAATTTTGACGTAAAAATTGTTTCCTTTTGACGTAAAACTTGTTTCCCTTTGCTCTCATACTTCAAACAGCTGATCTTCCTGTGCGACTTCATTAATAACATTTTGTTCACACTAGACACAACTGAGAAGTAGCTAGTCTTCCTAGGTGACCTTGTAAATAAGCCTTGCTTATTTGAAAATTTTGACGTAAAACTTGTTTCCTCATACTTTAAACAGCTGATCGTGGCACAATGAATAGATAGTCCATTTAGAACAGCTGATGTCTTGAATAACTGTCAAAGTGCGTAATTTCTACTTGTATTCGATGTGCTAAAACTTTTTTCCCTTTGCTCTCATACTTCAAACAGCTGATCTTCCTGTGCGACCTCATTAAAAAGGTTTTCTTCACACTAGACACAGCTGAGAAGTAGCTGGTCTTCCTATTTGAAAATTTTGACGTAAAACTTGTTTCCTCATACTTCAAACAGCTGATCATGGCACAATGAATAGGTAGTCCATTTAGAACAGCTGATGTCTTGATTTACTGTCAAAGTGCGTAATTTCTACTTGAATTCGATGTGCAATGCTGCCAACTTTTTGAAATATTATAAGGAAAAAATTTGACAGATGGTCGAGACAAAAACAAATGTTTTTGTTGTGATACATCGCCTTATTATTGCATCAAGCAGCTGATCTTCCTGGTCGACCTCATTAATAAGGTTTGGTTTACACTAGACACCTAAACCTAATATGTCAACTAAACACTGCAGCTTTTTCAAACATTTACACCCACAAAAAACTCTCCTACTACTTACCGCGAAACCGTTCCGCATTCTTATAATCATGACTGTGTATTTGTTGACCTTGGTATGTTTCTAAACCTTTGATTGTTGGATAAAGCGGTGTATGGTAATGACCATTACATATCATAACATAATCGAACATTTCGAAGTCAACCGAACCAGTTTTAAGATTCTTGACAACAACCTAGAAAAAAAAACGCAAGCCACAATAGTTTTAAATAAAATTTACAACAATTTAAGCGATATATATAAATAACAACTCACCTCCCATCGATTATCCTTCGGCATTATTCGAATAACATAATGCAAAAACCGAATATATTTCTCCAATTGATATTTCGCACAAAATGCACCCAAAAAGTTTTCTATGGCCTTTGACGGAACATACGATTCATCATAGCCATCTATTTGAAAGTCGGGATAGCCCATAACTTCTTTGGGTAGATTTGTCCTCAGACCCTGATACATGCTACTGTGTACCTCAATGCCATATTCATTTGTGCCCACTTGATCCGTATATACCCAGGTGCCGCCAATTTCATTATTTTGTTCATAGATCGTAACCGAATAACCATTTTCCAGGGCACGTCGGGCAGCACATAAGCCAGCCGTTCCAGCTCCCACCACAGCGATTCGTTTCATGTTTGCAACTGAAAGTTGTTTGGTTTTGTGGAATTTTAATTTAATTCTTGAATGAAATGCAAACGATCAAGAACTAGACTGGCAGACAGACAGTAGTTTAATTCACTTTGCGATTCAATGCAAATGAGATTGTCATAATCTGGGTTGGTGATAACAGCGACGACGTCGACACCGCAGTCGTCGTCGAGCAATAATTATGATTTTAATTAAATGCATAGCAGCGAAGAAGAAGAAAAATAAATAAAGTGATAAGACAAAAACACCAACAACATGTTGAAGATGCTGTCGGAGGAATAGCATAGATCGGTAGCCCCCACCAGACTAAAACTTACAGCTGAATAGGGTCAGTGTTTGATCTGTGTTATCAGCTACGAAGGGCATTCACTTAGCGACTACTAAAATCTATTATTTTCTTATTAGATTAGGTTACACAGGGTTACACCTTAGACAACTGATCATTTGTAGTTACTAATCAAGACAACTAATTGAGATTCTGTATAGAAAATATTTATGGGAAAATAATACTAACAAACATACATTATCGGTTTCACAAATAACCTATAAATGAAGCCGATTTGATATGAACATATTTCATTTGCTTGAAATTTCAATTATTAGTTTCTATTTTGGTTGAAGATCGAAACATAACCTAAAAATCTCCTAATTGATATGATTTTCAGTATAATACTTGATGTGTGGCCAAGACACTTTAAAGGCTTTACATATATTGCCAAGTGTGAATAATCTCCAGAGAGAGAGCGAGCGAGAGATGTATTTGTTCGTACCAAAATTGCGTTGCATGTGATTAGTATCTTACTATGATATTTGATGTGTGGCTAGGCCATTTTAATATGAAATACACATTGTCTGATTAAGAAAAAAATTGATTTTGCCTTTAATCATGATTAAATGTTATATATAAATCCGCTTTTATGATTTTTACTATGATATTTGATGTGTGGCTAGGCCACTTTAATATGAAATACACCTTATCTGATTAAGAAAAAAATCTGATTTTGCCTTTAATCATGATAATTTTTTATATGTAAACCCCGCTTTTATGATTTTCACTATGGTATTTGATGTGTGGCTAGGCCACTTTAATATAAAGGCTTTACACTAACATATTGTCAAATGTAAACAAGTTGTTACAACATGATAGTCTGTGTTAATACATGTATGTAAACATAGACTAAGTCTATGCTATTTTAACACATGTATGTAAACAAACGGTGTTTGTTTGTACAGTACACAGTTATTGGAACAGTATAACAGTGTATAACACATAAGCGAGGATAACATAACCTAATAACAATAACTGAAATGTACTTCGGGTAATTTTTAAGATTTCTCACAAACAATTGGTGTGGATTTTATTAAAAAAATGTATTTTTAGATAGACCAGCAGCGTATAGGAACATATTTATGGAAGGAGCAGCTATTGAACCGTTTTAGATTCTGAAAAAATTACCAGCTTTGCTGCCGCCTCCTAAACTTAAAAATAAAATTCATGTGTTCAATCTGACGCATCGGATCACGGCATGGGGACTGAACGAATTATAAACATTCAATTTTTCTGCAAAAAACATAACTGGAAATGTCTGACAGCACTCGTTGCAACAAAGAAGTTCGGGTCATACGTTGAAGTGGCGCCATTTGTTGTTATGATCGATAACGCTTCTTTGAAGGATTTTTGAAATGGACTCTTATCTTGCTGGTCTCTTCAGATGAAGGTCTTCTAATTTTGGAAATTAAACAAAGAAATGGAGTATGGCATAAGGGTAAGTTTCCGGAAGCATGGAGAAGGATTAGGATATCCCCTATCCCAAAAAAGGGAAAATACCTCAGTTGGGTGGAGAATTACAGGACCATCGCACTAATGTGCACTCCCCAAAAAGTTCTAGAAAGTGCATATTCCAAACAGACGAATTAAAATCGGAAATAGTGTAAGGATGGTGCAAAAGGGGCTACCGCAAGGTAGCGGGCTTAGTCCGATACTCTTCAACATTTACACAGCCTCGCTGCATGCGATTGTAGAGCCTGGAATTGAACTCTTTCAATTCGCAAATGACTTTTCCTGGTGTGCCATGACAAAAATTTCGCAACAGCAAGAAAATTACTGGTAGAAAGCATTATAAAACTTTATAGCGAATGTTGCAAACTATCTTTGAGCGCTTCAACATGGAAAAAGTTAACGTCATTCATATCTCAAAAAGGCCTAGAGAGCTCAACATTTCAATAAATGGTTACCAACATCAACCAATCCCCAAACATCAAGTATTTGGGCCTAATTATATCAGCCAGTGGTACAAGGCCATGGAAGTCGCAAGCAAGAATAACAAATTCCTTGAAATTTTAATTGGTTGCACCTTTGGCATATCACTGGCCAAGCAATACACTTTTCTTTGAAAAATCCACGCCTTGTGTAGGTCTTTGAAAAATCCACGCCTTGTGTAGGTCTTTGAAAAATCCACGCCTTGTGTAGGTCTTTGAAAAATCCACGCCTTGTGTAGGTCTTTGAAAAATCCACGCCTTGTGTAGGTCTTTGAAAAATCCACGCCTTGTGTAGGTCTTTGAAAAATCCACGCCTTGTGTAGGTCTTTGAAAAATCCACGCCTTGTGTAGGTCTTTGAAAAATCCACGCCTTGTGTAGGTCTTTGAAAAATCCACGCCTTGTGTAGGTCTTTGAAAAATCCACGCCTTGTGTAGGTCTTTGAAAAATCCACGCCTTGTGTAGGTCTTTGAAAAATCCACGTCTTGTGTAGGTCTTTGAAAAATCCACGTCTTGTGTAGGTCTTTGAAAAATCCACGCCTTGTGTAGGTCTTTGAAAAATCCACGCCTTGTGTAGGTCTTTGAAAAATCCACGCCTTGTGTAGGTCTTTGAAAAATCCACGCCTTGTGTAGGTCTTTGAAAAATCCACGCCTTGTGTAGGTCTTTGAAAATTTTACTTTAAAAAATCCACGCCTTGTGTAGGTCTTTGAAAATTTTACTTTAAAAAATCCACGCCTTGTGTAGGTCTTTGAAAATTTTACTTTAAAAAATCCACGCCTTGTGTAGGTCTTTGACAATTTTACTTTAAAAAATCCACGCCTTGTGTAGGTCTTTGAAAATTTTACTTTAAAAAATCCACGCCTTGTGTAGGTCTTTGAAAATTTTACTTTAAAAAATCCACGCCTTGTGTAGGTCTTTGAAAATTTTACTTTAAAAAATCCACGCCTTGTGTAGGTCTTTGAAAATTTTACTTTAAAAAATCCACGCCTTGTGTAGGTCTTTGAAAATTTTACTTTAAAAAATCCACGCCTTGTGTAGGTCTTTGAAAATTTTACTTTAAAAAATCCACGCCTTGTGTAGGTCTTTGAAAATTTTACTTTAAAAAATCCACGCCTTGTGTAGGTCTTTGAAAATTTTACTTTAAAAAATCCACGCCTTGTGTAGGTCTTTGAAAATTTTACTTTAAAAAATCCACGCCTTGTGTAGGTCTTTGAAAATTTTACTTTAAAAAATCCACGCCTTGTGTAGGTCTTTGAAAATTTTACTTTAAAAAATCCACGCCTTGTGTAGGTCTTTGAAAATTTTACTTTAAAAAATCCACGCCTTGTTTAAAAAATCCACCTACATAAAAAAAAACAATTTCGAATTTTATTTTATTTTTTTAATGATACAACTTTATTATAAATCCCTTTTCAAAGGACATCCAATCATGATAGTATAGTTTTAAAAGTTATCTCTTATATAGGTATTTATGTATGTATGATAAATATACTACACAACATAGAAATGCACATACAAAGACATTATAACAGCATTGTTGTTGGTTTTTTTTTTTGCAATAATGAATGAGTGAAATATTTATTTTCTTGTTGTTTTATTTATGTATTTACAATGTCTCAAATAACGTTTTGTTTGGGTCTTCTCGGGGGACCGGTATGTCATAATGATTCTTGGCCCCAACTCTGCGACCAGGAAATAATTAAAAACGAAATATGTTGCTTTGTAACGGATAAGAATATTTAAAACAAAACCAAAAAAAAATGTTTTCAATATTGATTGTTGATGTCTAGGACAATGAAAAATAATACAATAATAACATATATGTATATAATAATAAAAATCGCGTGGTTGTTTTTGTAGTGTACATTTCTATGTTTGTATTACAAAAAAAAAGGAAAATGTATAGAAGGATTTACTTTGTTTTTGTATTACATAATAATTTAAATTTATTACGTGTTTTATTTTTATTGTTTTTGTTGTTTGATTATTAATAATAATAGAATAGCATATTTTTGATGTGTATGTGGTTGTGTGTGTGTATATAAAGTAAATGTTTTATATGTATGCGGGTGTATTTAAAGTGGGGGACATTTAGGGGGAAGGGGATTATAGTTTTCTGTTTCTCTAAAATTAACTTCTTCTTATTTCACTTCCGGTTTGCTTTTTTTTCTCGGGACCAGGTTAAAATATTCAATATTTTAACCTTTTCTTCTTCCTAACTTATCTTCTCATAGGCGCATTCAGTGGTATGTATGGAGAGTATGTGGAATACATCGAATTCTGTTGGGCTGCCCTTTGTATGGCGCACGCATCCTGATATTGAGATTGCATATTCATGACACCCATTTGCATGGGAATTTGTGAATTTGGATATTCACCACCGGTGGAATAGCTGGACGACGGTGCCTGCTGCGTGGACATGCGATAACTGTAGGGTGTCATTAAATTGGGAGCAATGTGCACATTACTGGGCCGGCTGCTGTTCGGCGAAGAAGTGGATGGTGTTGAGGCAATGTTCTGTATGGGTGCCGATGCCGTGTTCCTCACCGAACGACTTATACTAGCCGCCTGCGATGTTGTGGTTATGGGTGCAATATTCATATTACCCGGATAGTATTTATGATGGTATTGTAGTGAAGCCATCTGGGATTGTAACATATTGGGCGAAGTATTTAGATTTCGATTTTGTGGTACAATCAAGTGGGGTGGCGGTGTCATGGAATTATTACCAATACCATGCTGCGGTGGTGGTGTCATATCGACTTGTCCAATTGGTGAGGTGTTACATGGTGGTATATCCAAGCCATTGGTCAACTGTTGTAAACGCGACAAGCTGCTAAGATTGCCCACAACAGCCGGTGAACCACCGGCCTGGGCACTGGGCAAAGATTCAGCTCGTGTCTGTTGCTGCTGCTGTTGTTGTTGCTGCTGTTGCTGTTGTTGTTGACTCAAATGTTCATTGCCCGATCCCGAACCGGATGACGAACCACCCGAGGGTATTGAAATCGGTACTCGGGATGTATTATTTATCGACTCATTCGTATTCAAATTATTTTGTAAATAGAAATTATTAACTGCACACGAGGGTGAGGCCTGTTCAACACGTACCGAACCGGCATGCGAATTTATAGCACTGTTCAAGGACATGCGTTGTTGTATAACAGCTGGCATAGAGCTAATATCATACGATGAATTGCCCGTATTGACGGGATAGTTTTGTCCCAAATGTGAGAGATATATGTTATCGGCACCACCACTGCCTCCATTGCCACCACCTCCTCCACCACCACCACTTTGCATATTTTGATGGTGGGCATTCAATTGGGCAAATTGTTGTATATTGTGCAATTGTTGTTGTTGTTCTTGTTGTGCTTGCTGCTCTGCTGCGGAATTATTTTGTTGGCTATTGTGATTTGCCAAGGCCTGTTGTTGTTGCTGCTGCTGAGCTAAATTATTGTTAAGAGCCTGTTGCTGCTGCTGTTGTTGTTGCTTAGATTGACGATGTGCATTTGAGCCCGAGGAGTTGGCATTCCTCATTAATTTTGGTGTAGTTGATCGTTGTTGAACATTATTACTACCACTGGATGCGGGATTTTCATTCTGAAAGAGAAAAAAATAAGGTAAGTAAATTTTTTTAAGGTTATGTTCAGGAACCTATGTAAAGCGTAGATTTTTAAAGAATATTTTTCAGGGACCTACGTAAAGCGCCGATTTTTTTTAAAGAATATTTTTTGAGGGACTTTTTATAAAATATTTTTCAAAGACCTACACAAGGCGTAGATTTTTTAAAGAATATTTTTTAGGGACCGACCTATACAAGGCGTGGATTTTTTAAAGAATTTTTTTTAGGGACCGACCTACACAAAACGTGGATTTTTTTAAAGACTACTTTTTCAGGGACCGACCTACACACAAGACTACTTTTTTCAGGGCGTACACAAGGCGTGGGATTTTTTACACAAGGCGTGGATTTTTTAAAGACTACTTTTTCAGGGACCGACCTACACAAGGCGTGGATTTTTTAAAGACTACTTTTTCAGGGACCGACCTACACAAGGCGTGGATTTTTTAAAGACTACTTTTTCAGGGACCGACCTACACAAGGCGTGGATTTTTTAAAGACTACTTTTTCAGGGACCGACCTACACAAGGCGTGGATTTTTTAAAGACTACTTTTTCAGGGACCGACCTACACAAGGCGTGGATTTTTTAAAGACTACTTTTTCAGGGACCGACCTACACAAGGCGTGGATTTTTTAAAGACTACTTTTTCAGGGACAAAAGGCTTTGAAGAATATTTTTCAGGGACCTAAGGCTTTGATTGCTTTGAAGAATATTTTTGAAGGGACCTAAGGCTTTGATTGCTTTGAAGAATATTTTTGAAGGGACCTAAGGCTTTGATTGCTTTGAAGAATATTTTTCAGGGACCTAAGGTTTTGATTGCTTTGAAGAATATTTTTCAGGGACCTAAGGCTTTGATTGCTTTGAAGAATATTTTTGAAGGGACCTAAGGCTTTGATTGCTTTGAAGAATATTTTTCAGGGACCTAAGGCTTTGATTGCTTTGAAGAGTATTTTTCAGGGACAAATGATTGCTTTGAAGAATATTTTTCAGGGACCTAAGGCTTTGAAGAATATTTTTCAGTGACCTTAGGCTTTGAAGAATATTTTTCAGGGTCCTAAGACTTTGATTGCTTTGAAGAATATTTTCCAGGGACCCAAGGATTTCTTTGAAGAATATTTTTCAGGGACCTAAGGCTTTGATTGCTTTGAAGAATATTTTTCAGGGACCCAAGGCTTTGAAGAATAGTTTTCAGGCACCTAAGGCTTTGACTGCTTTGAAGAATATTTTTCAGGGACCCAAGGCTTTGAAGAATATTTTTCAGGGACCTAAGGCTTTGATTGCTTTGGAGAATATGTTTCTAGGATAAGATGGGGATATGTGAGCCATATATTTCAAAACCCACATAAATTTAATTCAACTTACTTGATTTATTTTGCGATTTTGTTGTTGCTGTTGTTGTGCACTATGCTGCTGCTGTTGTTGTTGTTGGTTATTGGCCAAATTATTCAGATTTTGATTGTTGATATTCATATTCTGCTGTTGTTGCTGTTGTTGTATATGTGGCGTGTGTATGGCCATATGCATTGGGGTATTTGTACCCTGATTTTGCATGGAACAATTGGAGAATTGTTGCTGCTGCTGTTGTTGTTGCATGTGTACACTGTTATTGACATCCGAAGAATTTTGAGTTATGTCACTGGAAATACTTGCCGGCGAATCCATACCCATGGGTACATTAAGACCACATTCGTTGTAATGATGTTGCTGCTGCATGTTGCCACCAGTTGTGTTGGCATTGCCACCATTGTTGTTGCTGGAACCCCCTCCACCACCACCACCATTGTTTGCATTCTGATTGCCAGCATTTTCGTAGACCATGGGTGAAGTCATTTCAGGACTAACAGTATTGGCTTGAGGATTACCTCCTGCTCCGCCGCCGCCTCCTCCTCCACCGGATTTCATTTTATTGTTGTCATTATCATTGTGTGGGTTATTGGAATTATTGTTTGCCGCATTGGCTTGCTGATTAATATTCTGTTCAGGTTTTACTTTTTGACAGGAAGCCGCCGCAGCCGCGGCCGCCTGTTGCTGGGCAGCTTGATGTTGCTGCTGCAATTGTTGTTGTTGGGCATTTAATAAATTTGCTGCCTGTTGTTGTTGTTGCTGCTGATATTTATTATTTGCAGCAGCATTGCCATGACTATTCATGGAACGTATGTGTTGATCTGCTTGGGATCGACTGTTCTTTAAGGCAGCAGCACTTGTGAAACTTCCATCGCCCCTATATAAGCCATGGCTATTGTTGTAGTTACAGGCGGCAGCAGCAGCTGCTGCTGCAGCTGATTCTTCACGTTGCAACATTTCCGTTGCCACGGCGTGGGCCACAGCCCCTTTCAGGGCCGCCTCGTCTTTTTTCAAAGGGCTTGTCTTTCGTTCGGCTTTCAACTTATCCTTGGGATGATGCTGCTGTTGTTGTTGATGTTGCTGCTGTTGTTGTTGTTGCTGCTGTTGTTGTTGCTGCTGTTGTATGTGTTGTTGATGGGCATGATGTTGCATGGCCAAATTTGCCGATTGATAGAGATTTTGGGTAAAATTATTGTAGGCCATCGACGAGGCCAGGTCCTTGTGGAATTTATTTTGACTCTTCTGGGCTGTGGCATCCAAGTGCGATAAATTATAACCATAATAATCCCATTGCCAATATTGGGAGGTATGATAGTTGGACAATTGATTCAGTGGAAATTGCGGCGCAATTTTATTTAAATCCAAGGCATTGAGGTTATGTTCGGCACTGGCCTTAAAATGTAGTTTATCGTGGACATTTGAGGGACCAGCTGCTGAACCGGCGGCGGCAGCTGCTGCCGCTGCGGCCATAGAAGCTTGCAGCATACGGGGATCTTCCTCCTTGATTTGTATGGGTCCATGCAGACCCTTGACACTGGCGGCTGTGGCTTGATTTTGTTGGCCAATCATTTTTTGTTGTTGTTCGAGTTTTTCACGAGAACTGTGACTCAATTTCGATTTATTACCTTCCAAATTTGAGCCACCAGCAGCTCCAGCTTTATTATCACCGGAGGAGGAGGAGGATGAAGATTTGGATTTATTCGATTTTGTGTGTTTCTCATGGCTGGTGGCATGATGTTTTTCATTGAGAAACTCTGTAGACGACTTTTCCGTTTTACATTTATATTTGTCGAGAGGAGTTTTGCCATAATTTCCGCTTGTTGTCGTTGAAGAATGGGCTGAAGAATGTTGACTGTTTTGGGCCAAAACACCACCACTCATTGTTGAATTGGAATGCAGTAAGGGCTGTTGTTGCTGCAGCTGCTGCTGTTGGGAGTGCTGATGTTGTTGTAGTTGTTGCTGCAACTGAAGGGGAACCATGGCATGATTTTGTTGGGCATGAATCTGCGAGACCTGGGGTATTTGCAGAGGTTCTGATGTCACTGCCAAGGGTGGTTTGGTATCTACCAAATGTGTTGTTTGCTGGTTGCTGGACGACATTTTCAGTGGGCTACTTTTATTAGTGTTAGTATTGCTGTTGTTGTTGCTGTTATGTTCCTTCTTCAAAATCATTTGTTCCGGCATTTGAGATGGTGTTGATGGTATTTCTGGTTTGATATTTGCATTGAGACCTACATGGGCGGCCATGTTGGCGGTGCTAATTGTGGATGCCGTAGATGATATTACGGTTGGGTTAGTTGTGGTTTTTGCCATTTTATTGTCAAGTTGGGACGTGGATTGTTGCTGTTGTTGATGTTGGCTTGCACCCCCATGATTATTATTTGTAATGTTTGGTTTATTTTCCTGGGAGGTCAATGACTTTGCAAATTGATTAACTGTAATTACCGGTTCTGGCTTGGCGGCATTATTGGTGGTCACTGCCTCGTTGACATTAGGGTTTTTTGGAGTTGGTGAAAGTTGTTCGGTTTTAAGTGGAGCCACAACTGTTGACTGTGGCTGGGATGGTGGTTGTGGTGCTGCTGGTGCTATTGTTTCAGCTTTAGTGACTGCAGCTGGTTCTGGCTTAACTTTATTTTCCAATACGGCCGACGACACTGTTTGGTGTTGGGGTTCCTCCTGTAAAGGTTTAACATCCAAGGGAGTTGGTAACGCCGCAGTGGTAATTGTTGCACTTGCTGTTGTTGTTGTGGTGGGTAAATTTGTTGCATTTGTAACAACGGCTGTTTGTAATTCCTTTTTTGTTGTTTTATTCTCCTCAATAACCGAAACATTAGCTGCATACTGTTCCAACATGCGGTTCTTTGCTGGTTCCTCTGGGTGGATGTTGGTGATCGGTGGTAATACCTCCTGAACTGTGTTGCTACCATCTTTTTGTATAGTATTATTATTTGGCTCACCGCCGAGTGTAGAGGTTGTCAAGTCCTTGGATTTTTCATTGGCTAAATCTGCTGGTTGATCCTTTGCCTCCAAGGGTTTATTGTTATGTGCAATTGACCCAGATGGTGTTTCAATTTCCGGCTTCACAACGGGAATGTCGGTTTCATTGAACAAAGATTTCTTAGTTTTCTTGGCCACTGCTTCCAATACCTTTTCATCGGTTTCCATGTTGGAGGATTTTGTCAGTGATGTTGCGCCTGCACTGTATTCCATTTTTATGGGTGATGACGTTGTTTTCGTTTCCAGCTTCTTTTCTTTGTCCTTTAATTCAGAGTTCAAATTTTCATGGGCGTCAGCTTGGGCCTCCTTACTTGGTTGTTGGACAGAAGAAGGCGGAGGAGGAGCAGCCGCTACTGCTTCTGGAACGTCATTGTTCGCATCATTATTTATTTCCTCATTAAGTTTACCCGAATTTTTAGCTCTCAATTTGGGAAATAAATTTGGTATACGTTTATCATTTTTTGTTTCAATTTGGGTTTCCACATTTGTTTTTTCCTCCTCAGGGTGAGCGGCTGCTGTCGCTGTCGTTGGAATTACATTTTTTGTTTCATCCATAGGTTCTTCCTGGCCACTACTTTTTGTTTGAGATTCCTTAGAAGATGGCATTTCCTCATTTGTGGGATTATTAGTTTCCTTGAATCCCTCCCTATTAATTGATCCTTCATTATTATCCTCCATACTTGTATCATTTTCCGATTCGGATAGTTCATCATGTTTCCTTTTCAAGGGCGGTAATGGTGGAGGGCTTGATTTACGATTTGTATTGGAACGATTGGAATTTTCATTTTTAATCCCACCTTCATCACTTTCAATGCCACCTGTGGGTGGTGTGGGTGTTGGCTCCACCGGACACGGTGTGCATATATCCATACTCTCAGTATTATAATTATCGGCAACAATGGCATTGTCATCCATTTTTGATGATTCTTCGTCGTTGTCGTCGACTTTTGCCCCCGAATCAATGTCCATGGGACTGGGTGTAGTGGTTTCTGCTGCTGCTGGCGGTGGACTTTGAGCCTTGCTGGGTCTTTTACGTTTTGTATTTAACTTCTCCGTCATTGGACGTTCGTGAAATAAATGTTCATTGTTGTGGGCTTCTTCTTCATCCACCTTTCCATTATCTTTCGAGACATTTGCCTCATTACTAACCACCTCTTCTTCTCGTTTCACATTTTGTTTATCCCCTGGGGCTTCTTTCACCTCGTTTGCCACTTTACTTTCTTGCTGTTGCTTTTGTTGCCTGCCCGCATTCTTATTCTCATCAACTTTCATGACATTTTTACGTGGCGACAGACTTTGCCTTCCCGACATATCCAATGATTGATTTTTAACATGTGTCAATAGCGGACTCCACCTCAATCGCTCCGGCTCAATTTGTATACGATTATTTTGTCTTTTCACCTTTTCGTGGTGGTCATTTACCCGCTTCCAATCCACTTTAATGTTAATGTGATAATGGATGTCATCTTCGTTTTTCCTAAGCTTAATGAAATTCAACAGCTCCAAAGCCAAGGCAATGTCGACAATAGTCAAGCCTGTCTCCGCGGCAATGCCATTAAAGGTAATATTCTTATCATGTTTGTGTTCATATAAATATTCCAAAATAATCGACTTCCAATAGGAGAAATATGATAGGCGACCCAAATCCGATAGAGGTTTTTCCGGTGTACCTAATTGGCCTTCTTCGCGACTCAGTAGATAACTAAAATCGATTAGGAAACGTCCAAAACCTTGGCGCTGGAATTGAGGCATTGTCAGGATACACGACACATTATATTTCTGGGCACAATGTTTCTCTTTGGAAAAATAGCCCACTAAATGACAACCTTTATTGTCATTCTTGGTCAAGACATAAAACAAGAATGGCTCCACATCGTAATACAGGGTTTTATGGTCCAGGAACAGCTTGGCCAAGAGACAAAGATTTTGACAATAGATTTTGTTAATGTTGCCATCAACTTCGAACACTGACAAATCCTGATGACGATATATTTCTGTGCCAGGAGGTTGTTTCCATGAACATTTGTTTTGATGACGATCCAGGACAGCCCGACTTTTAGTGTATTTTAAACAAAATTCACACAAATACAGTTTTGTTAATCTATAAAATGAAATTTGGAGGGGGATTGTTTAGTTATCAAGAGCACAGAAAGTGGGGGAAAATTTGTTTTGTTAACTATACCTGGCATATTCCTGTGGAAATGGACTGGAATACCAGGTTTCAATGTGCCATTTGCCAATTTCTATGGAGCCGGGGCAACGTTCAGCGCTGGCATTTATGGCTGCGGGTTTGCCTATCAATTTACTGGGACTTTCCATGGCACCGGCAATGGCCTTGCGTGCCCGCTCCCTTATCTTTTTGTAAATATCATAATCGGCCTGAGACACACCATTGGGTAGGGGTTGTGAGTCGAATGGATTCTCATCGGGCACCACTTCCCATGGATGTTTCTCTTCGGCCACCTCTTTGTTGGGTGGTGGTGTCTCAGGTTTCTCCTGGCTCTTGGCCATATCAATATCCTGCATCATTTTATATTTAATTATATTTTGTTGTGACAAAAAAGGGATCTCATCATCATCGTCTTCTTCAGCGGGTTTAGGAACTGGTTTCTTTTCCAAAGGCATAGATTTAAGTAAGACGGCCTTCTTTTGGACCGGTGGTTGATTGCTGGCGGCGGTGGTATTGGCCACAGCATTGGTTGACGATGTCGCAGTTGTTGGTTTGGGTTTATATTTAATCATCATGGTTGGTTTGGCCGTGTCTTTTGAAGCCGTAGTCGCAGCGGGAGTTGTATTCGCCTTATTCACCTCCTTTGGAGTAATTTCCGGTTTGGTCTCAGTTTGCAAGGGCACTTGATTTGTTTGCAATTTTTGCGGTGGCGGTTGACTGCTATCCTGTAACAATTGATTGGTGGCGTTTTTTTGTTCTGTTGACAAGGTGGCAAAATGATCGGTAAGTTTGCGTTTAACGGGTTTTAAATTTTTCATTAAGTCGGTGTTTTTGGCAACACTGGTTGCCGCTGCCGCCACATTTGCAGTGGCTGCAGCTGCTGCGGCTGCCGTATTGGCAAATATATCCGGATGACTTTTGGCCACTGCAGCAAAACCCCATTCCTCTTCCTTTTGAGGCTGCACCAAACTCATGTGCTTTGCCATGGGCGAAGAAGAGGATGCCGCGTTGGCAGCTGCTCCCAATAAACCCTCACATTTTTGTTTCTTATAAATTTGAGCCAACATTACATTGGATTTTGATTCACTATTTTCCGAATCGTAATCATCATCATCGTTGTCCTCGTCATTGTCATCACAATCCGAACTATCACTGCTACTCTCAGAAGAGTCGGAACCACTGCTGGTAGTGGAGGAACATGAATCAGATGAAGTAGTGTCATCATTGTCGTGATCTTCATTATTTTGTTCTTCATCGCTGTCACTAGAAGAACTGGAGGAGGAGAGGTTTGATAATGTTCTCTTGCGTCCTTTCATGGTCTTCAGCGAGGTGTCCTGTTCATAGGCAGCCAAATGTTGTTTTAGACTTTCCTCCATGGCGGCTTGATGTTTCAGTTTGGCCAAAGATGAGGGGGAGGCAACATCGAAGGCATTACCACCGGCCATTTTAACGGGTGTGGTTTTTGCCACCTTGGATTTGGCAATGGGCCAATATTTTTCCGGTGAACTATTCGGTGTGGTTAGACTGGTATCCCCAGATGTATTTGCTCCCCTGGAGGTGGGTGATACCATGGTCAATTGTTTGGCCGCCGAATTACTAGAATCAAACAAAAAGTCGTTAAATAAAAAATATTTCCTTTATTCATAGACTACTTACCGGCCCTTGGATAAAACCAATTTCTTTTGCGAATCTTTACCCTTGACCATACGAAAAACATCCGTATTCAATTTCAAACATGCACTGCATCTAAATGGATGTTTTGGTTTCTTATCGGGTATGGTGTCCAAACAATTCAAATGGAAATTTTTGTGGCAAACAAAACACTGCAATAGACAGGGGCCACGATTGCCTTTGCCACAGGCACATTTAACACAATTCTCACAGTACCAGGAACTGCCCTTGGTCACCAGCATGTACAGCAATACAAATGATTGGGTCTTACATTTAGCAGCAATATTGGCACATGTGGTGTGCAACGAAATGCCACATTGTTTGCAAGAGCTCAAAGGCTCGGGAATGCCATTTAAATTCTTCTGGGCATTGCCAGAGCAATGCTTACAGATGTCATTACCCTGGAAACAAGAAAAAACAGAAATTAGTTAAAATGTTTTTAAATTTCCAATATTCTTCTTACAATCTGTACTGGTATATCCACAGAGGCATTAGAGTTGCGGGGTGTGGTCAAAGAACGTCCTTTCTTATAGAGTTTACCCTCCTGTATCAAAAACCCAGCTTCCACAGCCTTCTTAATGGACTGTTTAATGACTGTCTTGTAATCAGCCTCGCCAATCAATTCAATTGTATTGAATTTTTGGATATAATTTTCAATACTCTTAACACTGGAACCTTCGCATTCACCCAAATCGTGGACCGCTCGGGCCACAATCTTACACAAATTGGTGTTCTTTTCCACACGGACAACACGCTTGGCCATGGGAGCCTTATATGAATGTAGGCCCTTGTTGTAGACCTTTATAACGGCACCGGTTTCAACAATTTGTTCCAATTTCTCAGCCACAATATCCTCATGGAATTTGTGATGGGCGCCAATGGCCTGACCTGTAAAACAAAACAGAAAAAAAAAACAAGTAATTAATAAACGTCGTCACAAACCCAAACACACACACACAAATCCATCACTCCCTCCGGACTTACATATACGTTGGACACTGGGCCGCTGCTTTTGGGAGCGGATTTTCGATATAGCATCCAATATCCATTTCTGCCACACTTCCAATGAAATTTCCTGTGTTGAATCGAACATTTTCGCTGCGTTTTAAATAAAACGCCGCCACCTAATTGATATCCAGCAGCAAGCAACAGCAAGCCAATTTCCGAAATAAAAATTCTTCTTCACACACGCACGC